ATAACCGTCTCTCTCATACTGTTAATCAAAGACAAGTTGAGGGAAAATCAAAGTTTAAACTTAAGTTATTAAGGTAGTCCTGAGGTAAATCTGAGCGTTCAGATTGGTTCTAAGAACTTACTTCGTATTTTGCCGGCATATACGGACCGTTTCCACGGAAACGGTCCCAAGCCGTGTAATTTTGGTCGGTAAGGCTGACAAATTCAAAACATTCAAGTTAGGTCCGAGTATAAACTTCTTACTACTTGGAAATATTAGCTCTCAGTGGTTTTTTGGTGCGAACCTCGCTGTGCTCAGTCCCCCGAGTACGGCCCTCACGCTCGGTTAGTAGTTAGGTTGTGTGTTGCGTGACGTCTTAAGTTTCATCTCCATCCAGCCGCCATACCGAATATTTATGTAATACCTTTCCCTTAAACACAGGCCTTATGCACCTGAGCTTAAACAAGAGAGGAGGAAGTTATCTCTTCCCATAATTTAAGGCTAAGAACTGGCGAAATCCCACCTCCTTTCAGACCGGAATCTTTTAAGTGTCTTTTCCTCGAATCTGGTGAGATAGCCATTTCTTACATCATGATCAATTGCATAGATCGCTTGCTAAATTTCGTTCAGAACCAGCTAATTTAGCCAGTGATAAACGCTTGAAAAGAGCCACTGACTCTCCTTTCGGTAATGTATGAAGTTAATGAAATCTATAATTGCACGAGAAGGTCATATTTCAGGTTATATATCGCTCTCTTGTCGATAAGCAATGTACACGAAAATGTCGTGGACATTTAAATGTCGTGTACATTTAAAATGTCGTTTACATTTAAATGTTGCGTACATTTAAGACCAAATTACATGTAATGAGTGTAGAAAAAGCCTTATGTTAACACAACAGTACCTTTAACTTTTGTTCTTCTGTGAGGCCTGAAGTCGTCATCGCACTGTTCAGTTTAATTTGATCAACTAGCAGCAGCCCTGGCCCCAACTACATGAGGTACCCACTCAATGAAACAGCGAGATAGAGAATGAATTAAAAGTCACGCTTCTCCGATTTTTGGTTCAATCTAAAACTAGAGGGTCCCCCATACCCCTCTGTAACGGTCAGTCACGTAAAAATATTTGGCCTTTTCACTCATCACGAAAAATATCCAAAACTCTTTCACGATCACGCGAAATTCAAGACAATCACCTTGAATTACTATTTTACTTTTCTAGACTTAACCAGTCTTACGCGACAAAAGATGATGTTATGTTCAAGAACCAGTAGTGGTCTGTTTTGCGACTTTTATCGATCCACATGAAGTCTATCTCCTGTCAACACTTAGCCACAGTCGTTCGAGAACAATTACATTTTAAAGACAACGAAATAACCGGAAATTCATAACGCAAAACAAAATGGTTCACGAATCACGTTTAATTCAGCTCTTAATTTACGGGTCACATTTGAATAAAAAAAAAAAAATCCGTTCACGTGAAACAAGGAAAGATCTTACCATCTTTAATCACGATTCACGAGAATAAAGAATCGCCCAATCACGCTTCTCGTAAAAAGTATAGGGGGCCTCAAGCTAATGATCAGCGTCACCGCTCGATCAATTATGACGAACGTTGAATGTCTTGAAAGTCTCGAGAGAATCTGTTGTAAAGTCATGGAATATGGAATCCTATATGTACACTTTCATACATATTTTTGTTTTCATAGGAACTTAGATTATTATGCACTGCGCATTTGATCTTATTCACATATTAGTTTGCGCAATGCATTATTACAATTATTATCTTAATAAATATTAAAGTATTCAAAGGTAGGCATGTCAGAAAGACATGGGCTAATCGTGGTAAATTTATTTGTAAAACAAGTAGTAATCAAGAATAAGTAAAGTGCGTTTGATCTCTGGAAAATTAATAGTTTTCGGCAGAAATTGTCAGGGAGAGTGTTATGTTTTCGGGCAGTGTCTAAACCAGTTGTACAGAGTTGTAAAGTTGAACACAGTGAGGTTTACTAGCTCAACATCTTGGTTATGGACTTGGTACAAGAGCGTTGGTAAAATCGAAAAGAATAACAAACTGTTATGGATCGTGGGAGTTCACTCTCGCATCAGAAATTTAGGCGAGTGGTCAGCCAGTCCAAGATGGCGCCCAAACCCCCAAATCGCTCAACATTCAGAAAAGAAATATTTCACCCACCAGGCAGGGCCAGGGGTTCGTGCCCGTGGGCAGAGATAGGAAAATCAGGACCGCATTTAGAACCAATCAGATTACGTGACTCGATACCGCGCCCTCTGGGGAAAAATATAATATGCGCACTCCTTACGTCGGAAGCGACAAAGCTGAGAATTTGGTTATATTCATAAGTGCGTAACGGATTATAGTTACCCTGGTAGCTATTGTTTCATTTGTCTGGTCACGATACGTGTTCGCTTAAGGAAAGAGCAAGATCAAGATGGATGACACAGCGAAACTTGGCTGCGAGCGGTAATTGACAATGGGTTTCTCTGAAACGTAAATATGAATTATGGAGGAGTTTTAGTCCCATTGTGCGATGGATACAAAAAACTTTTGATACCATGTGGAATTATATAAGTAGTTAGGTAACGCTTCTACGTGTGAGTACGGGTGGCAGTTGGCCCTTGCGCCTGAGAGATTCTCACGAGAGGGAATGTTGTTTGAATAAAAACGTCAACCTTATATTTGCAAAGTTGTGCTTCTTGGTGCAAAATAGTCCACTTCCTGAACTCTCTCTTTAATTTCGTGCTGTATGATTGAACCTGAGCGAAACTGATCAATGAGGTAGAAGAGATATATCAGAAGGGTCTATAAAAATCGCCAACATCTATTTTCTCTTTTCTTTCTTTCTGTTTTTTCTTTTTTTTTTCTTCCGGTGCCCAAACACTTACATAACTACTGATACGTAAGGGGATTTGCAGGTTGAGACACCCAACTCTCCTTGAACAGGCTGCCGCGAAGAACGGACTACAGATTGGAGGGGGGCATTGGGGCCTTCTAGAAACAACAAAACCGTAGGAAAAAGTCATCCAAAGCCGAAAAACCGAAACAAAAATCGCTCAAAACCGAAAACCGCGTACCGTGAAAACTGTCAAAATCGATACATTTTTACATCCCAGTTATTAAAACCCTGATCTGATCGATCCGTTACAGCTAGTGGTGACAAGTGGAGCATACAAAGTAAACTGCACTAATTTCATTACAGTATTTGTGAATGCCATGAACTTGGCATTCGCATCTTCTAGTGGGGGGCTTTGGGATTTTCGGTTTTGCGGTTTTGACTGTTTTTTGGATCGGTTTTTCGGTTTTTGGGCCAAAAAGGTTCGGTTTTTCGGTTTTGATGTTCAGAGCGGTTTGCGGATTTTACGTGTTCTTGCGTTCAGTTTTCGGTTTTCACGAAAACTCTGATGCGGTTTTCGGTTTTTCCTTTTTGACCCCTTTAAGGTGAAAATGTAGCAGTTTTGCCAGGCCGGTTTGCATGCGGTTTTCGGTTTTGCTACCTTTTTTCGTCGGTTTTTCGGTTTTGGAGGTTTTTTTCTCCGGTTTTTGCGGTTACCCGGAGACCCCAATGCCCCCCTCCTTCTAGTATCTGCTTAAATAATAGGCTTTCAGTCCAGCTGTTCTCTCGAGGACCTCGAGCGTGGTCTGTGTGGACTCAGCAGCTGGTAATGGAGCCTAGTTAACGTTAAATCAGAGAAATTCGCTCAAAATTGCGTTTAGCAGCTATTCGAGATCAATGGAGGCGCGTAATTGGCGTTCAGATCGAACCTAAATAGGTCAAATAGGAAAAACCGAAAACGGCATCGGATATCAAATCCGAAACCCGTTAGTATTTTTCGCGAAAATCGAGAACCAAATCTTAAAAACGGAAAACCCGCAAACCGCAATGAACATCAAAACCGAAGTTTTTTAGCACAAAAACCGAAAAACCGATCAAGAAAATAGCCAAAACCGCAAAACCGAAAATCCCAATGCCCCCCTCAGATTGTGATTAAATTTTATCGGCGGGACGGCAAGTGTGTAGGATCAAGTTATCAATAAAAAAGAGACTTAACGTAATACTGCAAGTGCTGATCTAACTGCGTACGAAAGTATAGAGAACTTAAAGCAGTGTTTCCTTCCTCCCCTATCCCTTTAATAGTCCTTTTTACTGTTGTGGGTTTGGTGGCCAAGCCTTTGAACAGGAGTGAGGCTAAGGGTGACCTTGTTATGATAGAGATGTTGCTGCTTTTCAAATGCAAATTTCTTTGTTATCATGCTAACTAGATGCAGGTCTCTATCACAACATGGTCACTCTTAGCCTCACTCCTGTTCAAAGGCTTGGCCACCAAGCCCACAAAAGACACCGCTGCCCAAAAAGAAATCAGTAAAGGAACTGAAAAAGGACTTAAGACCTATCTCGCTTACTCCCTGCATTTCTAAGGTCGAAGAAGGGTTTATTGTGGACGACTGCGTCAAACCAGCAGTTATGAGTATCATTGACGGCAGCCAATACGGGGCAACACCAAATTCCTCCACGACTATGGCCTTAATTAGCATGTTACATAATTGGTCTATTAACACTGATAGAAATGACGCTACCGTAAGAACAATCTTATTTGATTATCGAAAAGCCTTTGATATTATCGACCATGAAATTCTGATTACAAAAAATTGCGTACTAAGTGTAAATTGCCAGTTAGTATTACCAATTGGATAGTTGATTTTCTCTATGATAGATTACAAAAAATTAAGCTGGCTACGGAGTGCTTTTCGGATTTGTGCTTATGATAAATGACCTTGAAATCGCGTATCCACTATGGAAATACGTTGATGATACAACAGCCTCGGAGATGGTACCAAAAGAGAGTGAAAGTCACGCCAAAAATATAGCAGATTGTGTTATTGAGTGGTCACGAGAAAATAGAGTTCACTTGAATTCTGATAAGTGCAAAGAGCTTCGGATCTCATTTTCTAAAAGGCCCGGGTTCTTTGATCCCATAGCAATTGAAGGCAAAGAGTTGGAGGTA